AAAAAAGTTTTAAGTCATATACATCATTTGTATATCCAAAAAATATATTTTTTGATAAAATTAGATAATTAATTTTAAAGTAAAAATAAAATTTGGGCACGTATGAATTTTCAGTTCTATTACTAGATAAAAATACTAAATAAAATAATATTTTTAGATAATTATTCGGTTATCATCTACACCAGATTTAGTTAAAAATTAAGAATAAAGTAAAGAAATATCCTTTGTATATAGGGGTTAAACAATATAAAAAATTAAAAAAATAATTAGAAAAATAGTATTTTTCTCATAATTAAATGATTTTGTTTTGTATAATATGATAATGGCTATTTTTCTCATATTCTTAAAAATAAAAAGTACAATTTACTTAAAAGTTACTAAAAATTTTAAACTAATTGGGGCAATAATTTTAAATTAGTGGTCTAATTATAATTAAATTAAAATTAACTTGATCATAATTAAAATAATATAATTTAATTACAATATAAAAAATATTTATATATGACTATGATAAGAGCAATATTTAAGTATCTAAAACATTAATTTACAAGTACAGGAAATATTCATGAATAAATTACACATAATACAACAAAACAGTAATAGAGCTACTTAAGTACAAAGTTAATAAGTTATTATTTTTTATTTTATTCTTTTAAAGTTAAAATAATATTTTACGATTAACAAAATTATTAAAAAATTAAAATTGATTCAAAACAAAGAAAGAGTATTTTTAAAAAGTTTTAGGTATTTGGGCTGGCCCAAAGCTTGAAGGTGTTAAGATAGGGCTTAGCTTTATGGGCATTTTAGAAAGGGTAAGATACTTTAAGCTCGATTCGAATAAGCCCAACAAATTATGCTCGATCTGAATAAGCTCAGCCTGCTTGAGTTACTAGCTCTACTAGGAACTCTTTCAAATTAGGAAATGTCCTTGTGTGAGCATTGTTTAGCTAACAAAGCAATAAGGAAACTTTTCGTGAAAGGAACTAAAGTTGAATTTCCTTTGCAATTAGTACACTTTGATATTTGTGAACCCATGAGGGTGAGGGCTTGACACGAAGCATAGTATTTCATTACCTTCATCAATGATTTCTCATGATATAGCCATATCTACTTAATTTCTCACAAATATGAGGCATTAGAATGCTTTAGAAAGTACCTTAACATGGTTGAGAATCAAGTAACTAGTAAAGTTAAGACGTTATGAACCGACAGAGATAGAGAGTATCTCTTAGAAAAATTCAAGGCCCTTTGTGAAGAGAAAGGAATAGCAAGACAACTCACCATCTCAGTACTCCTCAACAAAATGGAGTTGCTAAAAGGAGAAGCTAAACGTTCTTTGACATAGTTAAGTCCATGATAGCACAAGCAAACCTACCAATTTATTTTTGGAGGGGTGCATTAATGATAGTTACCCTCATACTTTACCGTGTACCTTCTAAATTAGTTACATGCATACCTTATGAACTATGGATAGGCTGCAAATGAATTTAACCACCCTAAAACCATGGGGGTCAGCACCCTATATCCATGACTCTTCCCACGAACATTGAAAATTATGTTCTAAAGGGAAGAAGTGTACATTTATAAGATATTCTAAGCTTTTAAAGGGTTATGTCTTCATTGGTGAAAATAATGATGGCTTAGTAACTGAGATTAAATTAAGGGACATGATGTTCTTGGAAACTAAATTTCCAAGCAAGGGAGAGATTGATAGATATTAGAAACTCTGTGAGACTAATGATCGAATGAGGAACCAATGAATATTTCTCAGTTTACTAATCAAAGTAGGAAAGATAAGCTATTTTCACATGAAAACCTCACTCAAACACAAGAAGAGAATCTTGAAACCCATTTTCAGAGAAGTAAACGAGACAAAGCTCTAAGAAGATGATTTTTTGTTGAAGGAGTAACATTCATTATCGAGCTTAATAAAGATGATGAAGATCCTAAAAGTGTTAAAGAGGCACTAACAGGACCTGCTAGAAAAATTAGCAAAAGGCCATACAAAAGGCAATTGATTTTATAAAAGCTAACCAAGTTTGGGAATTAGTACTTACCGCCAAGCCGAAAGGCAATTAAGAGCAAATGGGTTCTCAAATATGGAAGAAAGGTTGATGGATCAATCAAAAAACCAAAGCCCACTTGGTAGCTAAGGAATACACACAACAAGAAGGTGTAAACTATTAGGAAACTTTCTCACCAATTATGTGATTTAACTTGATTAGATCAACCCTGGTTATGGTAGCAAGCTTAGACTTAGAATTATATTAGATAGATGTAAAAACTACTTTTCTCAATAGGAAACTAGATGAGAAAATCTTTATGGAATAACCAAAAGGTTTCATATAGAAGGGTAAAGAGCACAAAGTGTGCAAACTCCTTCGATCCATATATGGATTGAATCAATCATCTAGGCAATAGAACTTGAAAGTTCACAAAGCAATAATCTCATTCAACTTTAAAATGATCGAGAAAGACTATTGTGTGTACGTTAAGTAGTTTGGGGGTGAATTTATCATATTATCCCTATATATCAATGACATACTATTAGCTGGAACCAGCCTCAAAGCAATTAAAACAATCAAAAATTAGTTATCCTTGAATTTTGAAATAAAGGACATGGGTGAAGCAGAATATATCTTGGGAGTCAAGATAAATAGAGATCATTGAATGAAAGGCTTATCTTTATCACAAAAGACCTATATAAGTAAAATCTTTAAACATTTCAACATGAAAGACTGCAAGCCTATAGACACCCTTATGGTTAAAGGACATAACCTAAGTGAGAAAATGCGCCCATTGAAGAATCCAACATTCAATGTATGAAATAAGTCCCATACTCAAGCACAATTGGCAGTTTAAAGTAAGCAATGTTGTGCACTCAACTGAATATTTGTTATGCGGTCGGACTTTAAGCTAATTTCAGTCTAACCCTAAAATCAAATACTGGGAAGCTATAAAGAGAATAATGAGATCAATGAAAGTCACCATGGACTACAAGTTGTGTTACCAAGGCATCAGTCTGCATTTGGAAGGATACACTGATGCTAACTGGGCAAGAGATGTAGATGATTGACATTCAACTTTAGGATACGCATTCATGTTGAACAATGGAGCCATCTCTTAGAGCAGCAAGAAACAAACATGTGTGTCTCTTTCCTTCATGGAATCAAAGTACGTGGCATGCTCTGCTGCGGTATAAGAAGTTGTATGGCTTAAAAGATTCTTAGGACGACTAGGAATAAGCCATGGAGAAAAGGGTCCAATTTTGATATACTATGATAGTCAAGCAGCCATAGATTATCTAAGGATCCAAAGTATCACAATAGGACTAAACATATAGACATTAAGTATCATTTTGTTAAAGATATGATTGCTAAAAAAGCAAGTCAATGTTTAGTATTTATCTACACATAAGATGTTAGCAGATCCCCTTCCAAAACCCATAGCCAAAGATCCATTTGTGAAACATGTGAAGGCTTTAAGTATGTGTAGGCTGTAATGTATTTGAACTTATCTCATGAATAAAGTTATGCATTTCTCTTAGTAAACATGAGTGCAATGGTATATAGTATTCAAGTGTGTCGTACAAGTTTAAATGGTTGATTTTCTCACATAAACAACCACCTTCAATGATCAAGAGGAGCAAAGGAGATGAGACATAATATGATCACCACTCATTTAAAAGGAATAATGGAATGGTAGAGAAGAGTCATATCATAAATGTCGCCTTGAATAGTGGTATTAAGATGAGATCTGGAACGTAAAGTCTAAGTTGAATCATGGATATTTGCAATCCATGATACCTATGGCCAAGCAAAGAATTCCTTGAGAAAGGACATTATAAGTGATTCATAAAATTTTGGTTCAAGTACTGTGTGTATCTGAGACTCAAGTTTAAATGATGTTGATAAATCAAAATCAACATATGCTCTTAAGAGAGAAACATCATAGCATGCAATTCATACTGCATTTGCTTAAATTTTTTTGATCGCAATAACGGAAGTGGATGAAAGGATCCCTATTCCATCACTGTGTGAGTCCTAGAAAGGAGAAAAATATTTTCATGCTGCCCTTAAGACTTGGACAAGTGACAGTTACTTTTGCTTGTACTCTATGATCATAATGATTTGATCTAATGAGGTCGAGTATTGGAAAGCGACTAGTGTTTGAGACATGTCCCTTACAAATAGAGAACTTGTAAGTGTAGATATTAAGCATATGAGAAGGCAATCTGAGTTAAATAAATAACTCGAGAAGGATTAGATATGCCACAAGTAATACATATGGGTAAATCTAAAGTGCTTGAGCAACTTATAGCTACAATACAAGTATACAATAACATGTCTTTATGTGCTGATTCTATCCTAGGATTTCTAGTGCACAGACATCCAAATTGAGGATGTCATGCCCACGCAGTCACAATAGAGTACCAAATATGAAGTAAAAGAGATAGAGTTCGCATAATGATAATCTCATCAAATGCAAGTGAGAGATGTTAAAATTTTGAATTAATTTCTAGCCATGATGAGTCATAACTCCGATCATGATGAGTTGACCAAAATCTAATATTAATGTGCAATTAATAGCTAAAAAAGAAAATGATCCTCCGTCATAATTGCAATTATTTCAATTAACATATTTACTCCATAACGAGACGAATTAAGCTGATTGAATCTTCTTTTTATACAGAATCTCCGTTCACTATAAATATTGATCAAAGACTGAAGATAGAATACATACCAAAATTTTTCTAGTTTGTTCTTCCTCTCTCCCTCTTTCTCTCTTCAATGCATCTGTTATGCATCATAATTTAAACTCCAATAGTTTAAACTCAAGTGGGTAGCCAATTAAATTCCACTACACCCGAACTTGACAAGACTCTAACCTTACTCCTTTTATTTGATTTATTATTATTTAACCAACAATCGTTTGTTTACCATGCGAACATGCACGTTGTATTAAATCTAAGAAACTTGAACCTTCAAACAGCTGTGACCTTCGGCTAATTACTAACTACTCAATTGCAACTAACGTATACGAATCACACTATGCTTTTAGCTTTTGCTTCGTTTACAGATCAGAACACAAAAACACAAAAGAAAGGGAAGAATATATAATTGGGACAGGACACAGGCGTGAGGTTGAGGAGTTCAATTGATCATGACATTGACAGGGGAAGCACCGAGATGCATAGTCTTAAGCTCCTTGGATGGGTGAGGCCCACCAAAAGCCATCTGGTCTTCGCGGCCTCTCTTGTGGTGGAGGTTGGTGGCGGCAGCCCTCATTTTCTCCTCCTCCGTCCTTTCTTTCTCACCTCTCAACCAAACCCCAAATAGCTTCAGACTTTCTCCCTCTTCTTCTTCACCTACCACCTTCTTTCCTTCCTCCTCTTCTTCGCAGCTGGACCCACCTGTTCCTTCCCGCATTATTATACGATTAATCTGATCCGGCCCCACTTTCAGGTACTCCGTCAGAAAACTCACCAGCTCCTCGCACTGCTTCTTCGCTTCCGCTAGCTCCCAGCTCAGCATTTCGTTATCTTTTCTCAGTTTCTCGTTCTCTCCTGATAACTCTGCGTATTCCGGCCCCGTCTTCGTCTCCGCCGACGCCGCCTTGCTCTTCGAATGACTTGACGAAGTGGACGTGGACCCCGCGTCGTCGCCGGCTCCAGAGTTCGACGCGGAATTGCCGCCACCGCCGCTGCCTGACTTCCCCGATGGTTGTGTCAGAGTCTTCCGGCGTTTGATCTCGGACAGGAGCTCCTTGCGTCCTCGCTTGAAATTCTCGTTAGCGAATTCCCATTTGTCGGGGACTATCTTTCGGAATCCCTGATAATTCGAAGCACCCGATCAATTAGTGTTATTCAATCAACCAGACACTCTCTACCAGTATAACATAAAAAATTTTAATTAATTAATATAGTGAATTAGATTATTCGTCGTCCTAAATCAAATGGTAGACTTTTTCTTTGTGGGCAGACGACTTTGAGAGACTTTGAATTGCAGAAAAACGAAGCAGGAGCTTACCCTCCCACGTGCTCCTGCGAGTTAGGTACGAAACGGCGCAATCGCATCTACCTCTAGAAATATAGCGTCCACCATGGAAAATGAAAACACGAACGTTCTAGTAAGACCAAGAGATTAATCGGATTAGCTATCTACCTTCAGGGTGACGTGGCAAGTTGTTCCGTTTTCTTTCCTGCTTTCTCAACTTTCTCCCACTTTCTCTTCATTTCTCGTCTCAATTTTTGATTGGTTAAAATTTAGTATTTTATCAAATTATTTTTTTTAATGTTTGAATTACAATTCTACATCTTGAATTATTGTTTAGGTCAAATTTATTTATTAATTTTTCATAAATTTAACATTTTAATAATGATTTTATGAAGAATTAAATTTTAATCATTCAAAAATTAATCTAAGAGTTCAAAAGTTGGAGGAAAGAAAAGCCAAATCCACTCATCTTTACTTTATTTTTTTAGGCATAAATTTGGGATTTTTTTTTTTTTAGATTGACGGACAAAGCATGCACTCCTCGTGCATGACAGATGATGATTAAAATTATTTCGCATAATCAATACAAACATTGGAATAAAACCACTAATAATAAAGAAAAAATTAAAGTTTTTTCTGTTTTGGCCCACAATGGGGAAAATTTTCAAGGTTGACAGATACCAACCAAGTACGCTTTTTCAAAACATTTGAAAGAAAATAAAAATTCCGACCAGACCACCAGCCAACATAAGAGAACGCCATAGCGACACGTGTTTCTCCAGATTACAGAGAATTTTTTTTAAAAATCGTCACTTGAATAATTTTTCTTTGACTGGCTTGTAGAAAACGGATCCAAGGCACAGAATATGGTAGATGCCGAGGACGAAAGCCGAAAGCCTTCTCCTTTTCTAATCACAACTCTGATAAAACAATATTCCTACGGTTATAAATGATTTCCATCGTTAAATTTGTCGTTAAAATACCATCTTTTGAGTTCACGGTTGTACAGAAGTACGTTTCAAAAAGTAGACGGCGTATTATAGAGTTATTTGCACGAGCAAACATCCAAATAATATGTGAATTAAATAAAAATGGAGAAATGAAATAAGGAGGAGGGAATAATAAGAACATACATAAGTGTTGAGCTGACGAACAAAGCTGGAGAAATTGTTGTGCTTGAAATAATTGGGAAGCAAATCCTTTGCAAAATCCGCTTGCTTCCACACCACGAAGGTGTCGCCGCTTTCGCTCCACGATATCACATCGTTGGTCCGCTCGTCGTCCACCAACTGATACGTCTTCGTCAGAAACGGGGCCGGCGCCGACCGCTGCGTCATTTCTCTCCCCGATCGACCAGCCTTTAGCCCTCGCACAACTCTTTCCAAAAAAAAAAAAAGGAATAGCAAATCCTATCTGAAATTTGGGATTGATCCGACGTTGCACGGAAAAGAAATTGCAGAAACGGCGAGAAAATCCCAATGGATCAGGAAGAACAACTAAAGAGGAGAAGAGCGGTCAAGAATTCCCAATCCCAGCAATAGAAGCCAAAAAGGAAGAATCGAGAGTGAACTAAGTGATCGGAAGGCTTTCTGCGATGATCAGAATCCATGGATGGAAAGCGAGACAAGAATTTGAGGAGGAGGGACAAAACATACCATAACGCCGTCGTTCGAATCAAAGAAACGTAACAAATAGTAGATACGAATAAATATCGTCGATCCCCAGACTTGCACGAGACTCTTTTATTTATACCGTGAGGGAATAGAATATGGATCCAGACGGGACAACAACGTGACGTAGGTTCTGGAAATATCGAGCAACACCAAAATAAATAATTATAATTTAAAAGAAAAAAGGAAGAAAAGAATCAACTACAAAGAGAGGCTCCAGTGGGAACAGGTTTTTCTTTTTTCCTGAGAATGTTACAAAGAAGTCTTAGATATGGAAATTAATTGTTTCTTAATGCCTATATACATGTTAAAGCTTAGTATTTACAAGGGAACAAAATTTGTAAGTAATTAATTTTTACATGTGGATCGTTGTGTAATTCTATGTATTGCTTGTGCGCTTCGTATTTTGAACTTTGTTCCAAGTAAAAATCGAAATTTAACTAGCCAGGATTGAGTATTATTGACGCAATCTTTTGAATGACAAGCCCTGCCATCGAGTTTAACACTATCAAATTTTCAGGATTTAAATTCAAGATCACGAATCAAATTGAAACACTTGTGATGGTGGTGGGGCTTTGTTGGAAGAGGAAGCTTCGTATGAATGGAAGAAAATGGAATGTGTTGTACGATATTGAGAAGGACGCGTGGGGTTTTGAGAAAGTCCAAGAAGAAGAAGAAGGAGAAGGAGAGTGGTTGAGGAGGGTTTTTCTTTGCTTCTTCCACCTAACACTCCCATTTGCCATCTCTTCATTTTGCTTCTATTCGTCGTTATCCATCCATCCTCTTTTTATTAATTTTTATTTATTTGCTGTATTATAATATTTGCTCCTTGTTATCTTCCTTTAATTTGCACTGCCTTTAATTATTTCCAGGTTCCTCTTATCTCATTATTATACAATCATGAGTGGACATTGCAGTGGACGAGTAATAGTAGCGGATTACAAGATGCCAGTCGCCTTCTATATACAATCTTCTCAACTATCTTCTCATTTGTTTTTGTATTATTTAATTAATTGGAGTGACTACTACATTAGGACCAACCGTGATGAGGCAATATAAATTATGATATTAGAATCCAATCCAAGTTATAAACCCTGAATCCAATTCAAGTTAACCAATCAGTAAACTGGTGAACCGATTCAGCTAAGAGTTTTGGATAAGTCAATCGAGTTAAATTGTGTGTGTGTATATTCTCTTCCCATTAACCATAAAAAAACATTATTTTGAATTATATTTGTATTTTAGTAACTTTATTGATTGAATTATGTATTGTTTATACATAAATGTTCATTTACTTGTGTATTAATATTATTTTTATATTTACATATTACCATATTGTTTAAGGTTATATACGGATATTTTTATATTTAAATTAAATTATATATTTCTAATCATGATTGGGTTGATTACACTATTCATTTGACCAGTTGTCTAGTTCAATGAATACTATGGTTAATTTTTTGTACCCAAGTATGATTAAAATGATTTTTCAATCCATATATTTAGTGATTTATACTGTATAAATTATACTTTTCTAAACAAAATATAATACTAGTCTTTTTAATTTAATTCGAAAACTTATAAAACAATATTGAAATTAAACATAATTGAAAAGCTAAAGTGGGTCTATCTGTTAAATTAATACATAGCGCGATAAGTTGGTGAACATGAAGATTTATATAAACTATATTATTTAATGTATCAACCTAGAGAATCTAAATTGAGCTTGGCTTCCAGCTATGAAGAGTGAAACAAAATAATTTAAATAAATAAATAAATGAGTTTCTTGTATTTTCTCAGTCTTCTTTTTTTTTGCCAACATTTTTTGGGGTCTTTATACATACGTCATACGTCCTGCTTCTCAGTCTTCTGTTTGTTTGTTTTTCATGAATTCATTTGGGCTCTTCTCTGCTCGGAATAGAGCTGTAGCTGTGATGGGCTCAGTACTTTTAAATTCAAAAATAATTAAAATTAGGCTGTTATTTTAAAAAAATAATAATTTAAATTTAAAAAGGTCGATTCTAACTTTTTAAGTCTAACAATAATTAAGGCCAAGTCACTATTTTAAAAAATAATAATAATTCAAGCTTGAAAGGGCCGACCCTTTTAAGCCCTTTTATTATTTTTTTTAAAAAAATTATAATATAAAAAAAATATTAAATACATAACTCAAAGAAATGAACATATTAAAGGCATTCATTCATCACTCATTTATTTATTAAGATTTAGCTAATAATGTTAATTAAATTTAATTTTTATTAGTATTAACTTTGATGTTGCTATTTGATATTAGACCTAAATATTTAAGTTTTCTTTATTGTTATGGTGTAAATTGATTTAAATTTATTTTCTTAAACTTAATTTTATATATAATGACTTTTTTTATGATTATAAATATATTTTATATAATTTTAAATTGAAATTTTTTTAAAAAAAAAGTAGAGCCGAGGCCCTGAGAGTTAGAACCGGGCCTTATAAAAGAAAACATTGATATATAATTAGGCTTATTAGAATCAGTCCATTTAGGCTCTGACCCTTCAAGAGCTGATCCTTTAAGGTTGGGCTGGCTCTAATCGACAACTCTAGCTCCAAATATATATCAATTTAAAAAAAGAAAATGGGCATAATGGAGGACGGTGGGTGAAAACAGAGGAAGTGGGAATACAATATACAATATAATGTTCAATGAAAATAATGTTGTTATAACTATAAAAACATGGAAAACGAGCCGCTTGGGTAATGTCGTCTTCACGCTGGAAAATGTAACTACCAGTAAACCCAGTTTCAACTTTCCAAATTCCCACACCACCAACCACCTGCGTCTGTCTATGCCTCTATGCCCATTATTCTATTCTCAACTTTCCTATACACTAATATATTTCATTCATGCATCAATACAATTATTAATATTAACATAACAAATATCGATGTTTACAGTATCATTAATTAATGAGTCATCATTCCATAAAATCTCAAGAAAACATGTACTGTATGAGTTTCTTAAATCATCCAAATTTATATAACTTTTTAAAATTGTAAATACGTACAATAGAATTATTCTCAATCTTTCACTTTAGCCTACTATATCATCGATTTGTTTTTTTCCCCCGTAGATAGTACGAGTATTATAAACTGTTCGATCCTCTTTCTTCGCTACTTACCAACTCAATACAAAAAGTTTCTTCTGAAATTAAGCCAATGATATCCAACCGTTCACCATACGCTTTCTCACATATCACCACCGCCAAGCTATTGTTATTCATTCATTTGCCTGATCTATTTTTAATTTATGCTTTGTTTCCATCTGTTTGTGTGGAAAGAAAATGAGAGGAAAAAAAATAAAGAAAAGAGAAAATTGTAGAGATAATATTATCACCCCTTTCATTTAGATGAACAAAAGAAAACATGAAGGAAAGAAAATAGGCAAATAATATAATGACAATGATACCCTTATATTAAAATAATATGTCTTAGGTCATTGTTTTTATTAAAATAAATTGAAGGCAAAAATAATAAGACCATATAAATATTTTAACGTTAAATAATTTGGCAAATTATATTTTTACTAAAAAAATAAAACGGATAATTTTGTTAAAATAAAATAGAATAACCCATAGGAAATCAAATTAACTAAAATTAATGAAAGGCAAAATGCAAAAATAGAGGAGAAAATGGGTCCCCATGAAAGCGGAGATGAAGGTGCGTTTGATGCTGCTAGTCCGAAACAACATTGAAAAGAAGGTTCGCATTGATCGGAAAATAAAGGTAATTTAGAATGAAGAGTGTCAAGAAGAAAATAAGGTAATTGTGGAATAAGAAATTTCTTCTCAATCTCTCCACATGTAGCGAGAAAATGTGAAAGGAAAAAGCGGTGGGACCTATTCTGTATTTTCTTTCCTATTTTTTTTCTCTCAATTTTTTATCATTAACCAAACAAGGCAATATGTTTTCTCTTTAGTTTTCTCTCCTAGTTTTCTTTTCTCTTATACTTTACTCTCATCCAACTAAGAGTTAAAATGGCACTAATGCTTTAGCATTTTTAATGAATAGATTTTAAAAATATTAATAGAAACAATTTTACTCTTTTCTTTTAAAAATATTTTAATTAAATTTTTTTACTCAATTCCAGTCTTTAATATTAAACATTTTAAATTGGTCATAAATACTTTAAATCACGATGTAATATTTATATGTTACCAAAATTATTTGTATGTAATTTATTTTAAAGCATTTTAGAAAATGCAACCTACTCACTCTTTAAAAATGATAGTTTTGAAAAGATGCCTTTTAAAAAAATTAAAATTATTAATTAACGAATTTTAACTACCTGATTCAATCAAACTGATCTTATATTAAGGATGAGCGGGAATAAATAATTCTATGCTAATTAAAAAGTTTCGTAGCATATTAAAAACTAAAGCTATATCGTTCAGGCTTGGTTTAGATAGGAGGAAAAATAAAGAAGTGAGAATACTTGGAAGAAGAATTACTAAATATAATAAAAACAATTATTATTTTCAAGAATTTGTTTTTTTTTTGTATTCTTTCTTCTCTAATTTTCTTCCCTAACGGGTCATAATCCTCTCCTCATACTATTTCTCATTGATGAAATGAATGAATGGTTTAGATCTATAATATAATATAAAATAAATAAATAAATTTAAACTATTAAAATTTGACCGTACAATTTATAACTAAAATATTAATTAATTGTTTATTTTTCAATGTAATATGATGATAATTTTTTTATAAAACAATTTAATCTTAACCATTCATTCTTTAGCTAAAAGTGGAGATAAGATGATGAGGTCAAGAAAAGGAGAAAGAGGAATGAGGAGAGGATCTGTCCCTTGCTATCAAAAGCACGGTTCGGTACCACTGATTCATACATTAATATAAAAAACAATTAGATAATGAAATTTTAAACAACACAAGTTCAGTGTAAAGATATTTAATTTATAACAAGTTGGTGAACAATGAGATTATATTCTTCAATGAATGAACGAGTGGGAGTAAAAAATGGTAGGATATATATGCCACTGCCAAACAAGTTGCATTAGCAAATAATTAAGAGGAGAGTAGTACGAAGTTGACAAATACAAAATGTTAATCTGTAGAAGATGCTTACAATATAGTTCAATGGTTGGCGAATATAAGAGCTAGCGTTGAAATTTCTTAATCAACAAAGTCCGTACCCAATTTGAACACACAACCATTTCTTCTATACCTTGCGGCACCACTTGCTGCCACCAGTCAACTACACCAATCCAAAATTTAAGCTTAAAAAAAAATATTCAAAGCTTTTTTCTTCTTCTTCTTCCTTTTCTAGCATTCAACATTTGCCCTTTTATTTAACATAATTTCTTGGGCGCACGTCCTTCTATAACAAAGTTATTTTATAGGATAAGCATTGGTTTAAATATCATTAATTGTCAAATCCTAATTGAAGGGGTTATGATCAGCCAAAACTCGGTGTCAAGGATAAATATTAATTTTAAAAATAATAATTCAAAAATGATTATTTAATATTTTTTTAAAAATAATTCCATGTTTTATAATTGTCTCTTACTTATTGCTAAATGCTATTAAAAATATTTTCTTTCATATAAGTCACTAATTTGTGATATTATTCATAGATAAAAAATCTATAAATATATAATAATTAACCAGACAATTAAAAAAATAAAATAAATAAGTATATTCTTTTTTAAAAATTCTATTAAAATTTTGGATTTAGTAGATTCAAAACTAGGCTTAATTTAAAAAAAATTCACAAAAAAATGATCTAGAGTTCAAGGGTACATAATTTTGGGCTTGAAGAAGATAAAATAGCAAAATATATACTATTTATTTTTAATTTCTTTTAAATTGAGAGGATGCATATACCTCCCTACGTGGCTCCGTCATTATGACAGCTTAAATATAAGGCATTGGATTTAAGTCTATATGAATAAAAAAATATCTTTAAAATGTTACTCCTAATTGGATTTGACAATATTTAAATTTAATCTAATTAAATAGTTATATCAAAAATTAATATCATTGCCGATGATGTGAGGATTTCAATGTTAAATAATTAACATGTAAGTACATTTATACGTTACTTGATTATGATGCCTTCCTTAACCCTAGTCAGTCCAAGACCAAGCTCAACTATACATTTAAGGGGGAAAAAACAGAAGAAAATTGTGTGAGATTTGAGAAAATCTATGTCCCGTGTCCCGACAATTGAACACCACGCTCGCCATATATAATCTCAATCTCTCCTCTTTCCTTTTCCCATTTTAATTACTCGTCTAGCTATTTTTATATTTGTTATTTAAAATAGAAATAATAAAATTTTTAATTTTTTAAGTTTGTCTCGCTTATCAATTTAATGTTTAAAGTTTAATTTATATGAATTTGGTCCTTTACCTTGCTTTAGTTACCAATTTAGTTCTTATTATTTAAAGAAGATACAATACTATTAAAATTTGTGGAGATAAATATAGCCAGTATAAAAAAACTCATATAACTAAGTCTAGTCCTAATCTTTCAGGCTTTCGAGCTTATTCAGACTAGCCTGAATATTAGAAATTGTTAAATATTATTTTATTTTATTTGTTATCTAATTTTAATTTTAATTTTTTAAAAAATTAACATTTTCATTTTTATATTTTTTTATTTATAACAAAAAAAATAATTCAGGTACTTGGGCTAAGTTCATTCAGATTCAGACTTTGTTTTTGTTTTTAGGATTTATTCAAGTGGCCCGAATAAGCCTGTGGTAAATAAAATCTTTAAACTCTTAAGCTCATCTTTAAGATTTTTAGGCTTATTTGGAATGGCCCATCAAATTTGGCCCAAATCACCGTCTTTAGCGATAAATGATAGAATATTGATGGTTGCAATGTAGATTAATTAAAAAATAATTATTTATATAGAAAAAATACAGACTCAAAAACATTTATTAAACAAAAGATCACAAAATACAATGCAAGAGATTATATTGATAAAAATTAAGTTGATTTGATGGTTAATTTATTCTCATTTAACTACATATGTATGCAAAGTCATCACCACACTTTACACTTAATTTAGATTAATTTAAGAGTTAATTAATTTGTATTTTAAAATTTAAAGGACTAGCATGATAATTTAAGAAAATATAAGGGGTCAAATCGATGAAAGTTAAATATAAGGAATCAAATTGATAACTATGTCAAATTTGGTAGACTAAAAATTTCATTATCCCATTAAAATAAAACATTTCAACTGGCTTTTCAAAAATTAAAATAGTAGCTTAACTCTTAAAAATTATGCTATTTTTTCAGAAAATATATCTAAGTTACTTATTTTGTATAGAAAATATAATATATTTAGTTTGTTCTGAATTTTGAAAATCAAATATTTTATAATTAAATACATTAGAAATAATTATTATCCCCATTTTTTTTGGTTCACATCACAAACGACGACATGCTAGTGAAGCATATCGTTTTAATTTCGGGAGAAAGAAATTGTAGTTTGCATTTTTGTTTCAACAGAAGATGGAGGTTGCAATCATCAAGGTTCAAGGGAGGGGTAAGATTTCTCTAAGGTTTTATGAATTTGAGGGCATTTGAGTAGAACTTGCATTTCAAGCAAGTTGAATGTATTCATGTTAGGTGTATTTGGGCTTGCTTGAATAGCCAAGCTCGACTGAAACCTCATCAACCTTAGAGTTTATTTAGGCTTGCTTGAATACTTGAATTATCAATTTTTTATACTTTTAAAATTTTTTACTTTGAAATTAATTTTTTTATATAAAATATATTTTTTGGATACCAAGTAAAATACTCAATTTTTTTAAAAAAAATATATGGGTCTTAAAATTTAATATTAATATTAAAATATATTTTAAATATTATTTTGAGATATTTTATAGATTAAAAATAGTAAAAATATGAAAATATAATTTTTTTTAAAAAAAGTATCTACAGTAATGTACTCAAATGGTATCTTAGTATAAAATAACTTAAAACTTAAATAATCAAGTAATATTTAATATATTTTATACACTTTTAAAATTGTAATTTTTTTATTTGGGTCTATTTCAGCCAACTCAAATAGGTCAAAACATTAAAAAGTCTTATTTTATTAAGCTTGGATCTAAATTTTTTGAGCTAATTCAAGCTACTTCAAAGTATTGGCTCTACACTTGAGCCTTTGAATAAATCAAATGACAATAGAGATGTTTGACTTTGATTTATAAGGGGCATTATGAATGTAGGGCAATATAAATGTATAACTTGAAAGCAAAATAGAGGGGGAATAGGAAGCAATTGGAGCCAAATATTATAGTATTGAAACCACTTAAACAAAGGACATGGTTTTGCTCCAAAGTCTCTTGGGACCTATTAGAATTAAATGAAAATAAGGGAACCTACCGGTGTTTAACTTTATTAACATGGACTCATGGGTAATTGTTTCTAAATTTTATTCTATCAATGTGTAATCCGTGAGAAATTATTTTGGACAGAATGAGAGTTAAGTTCTAAAAGATTAATTTAATGACAATTAAATTTCTAACAAAGATTTCTTAAAAATGAGTTCTGAATATTGATTTAAATAATTATAAATTAAATTCAAAAATCACAATTGCAGATAATGTATTTAAGCTTTAAATATAACTTAGTTTTCAACTAAAATTCTTGTTACAGCTATATAAATTGATATCTTGCAACTTATTTTTTAAAGACTTCATTATTATCAAAACGATCTTTTGGGTTTAAATTTCATTCTGATATGATTTTGTCATGAACATTTGACCTAGAGAAATATACCGATTTTGTTATAGTATGTCATTGTGACCTATTTTATTTTATTTTATTTTAATAGAAAATAGTGAGGAATATTAGTGTACTTGTGGTATCATAAAAATGTGCCATTCCATACACTTGTAAGGGAGCAAATTAGTTGGCCCAAAAGTCATCGTATTCTCCGCTTGAATAACGACTCGACTTTTCAAAGACGAAGGCACAAATATATTCCAAGTCCCCACTTTCTCGTACGAAACAAAAAGAAATAGAAGCTTGCTCTAGAATTTTTCATTTATTTCACTATTAATTGAAAACCTTCATCTTAAAAGTGGCCATCAGAGATCAGAATAGACAAAAAGAAAGGGTCACGATAGCTCAGTAAATTAAACCTACCTTAAACCATACACATACGGAACACAGTGATGAAACAAGCACACAAGACACACAAACAAGGCTTGTAAATTAGAAACTGCCGACAGCTCCACGTTGCCAACAAATTAGTGTTATAAAAGGTTCCCTAGACAACTGGATATATTGTTAATATCAGCCCGTGATCGGTGGAGTATCATTGTCAAAAGAGGCTTGTGCGGTTTACTTTAGAAACCTTCTCGGCTCGGCTGGTTCTATTATGCATCAGCCCGAACTTTGACGCACCGCGCAAGCAACCACCTGAGCCCACTGCCTCAACCTTGACTTCACCGTTTGTGGATTGTCCCCTTCATCATCACAGTCACACCCCAACACATAAAATCAGATTCATCGATCGCCGTCTGCAGATTAATTAATCTCCAGCGAAATTCTAAAATGATGAATAAGAAAGATATGCGTCATGTGTACCTCGAGCGAATATGGCGGTGCGGGGGCTGCCGAGGGGAGAGGGAGTATCGGAATCGGACGACGGCGTCGTGGCGAGGGTTGACTTGTAGTTCTCGTTGACCACGTAGTAGAGTTCAAGAGCCGGTAGAGTGTCGGACAGCCGCTGATCCAATTCAACTTCCCGGGATGACCCGAACCCGAAACCCAGTTCAATGCAAGCCTTGAGCTCGTTCACATCCTCGTCCGTCACGCTCTTGCTGCGCCGATTCTTCCAGTTCCCTTTTCGTCGAAGCCAAGCCTCGTCGCGAAACGCGTCCGGCGACCACGATCGCTGCTTGTACAGAGGCGGCGCCACAGGTTCAGCACGAATCTGCGGGGGCGCGTAGGGTTCAGACATGGGTGTGGGTGTGAGAGACCCCGAGCACAGCCCCTGAATGATGGGGTTGTGCGGAGGTCGATAGACCTCGCACGGTGGGTTAGGGGACGCTATGGCTTATTAGGTTTTGTTTGATCGCCTTTGAATAGTTCGGAGGCATCGGGCTTTTAAGGTCCTGAGGTGGTTACGTGGTGGGCCCACGAGTGCCAACCACATTCTCTTCATTGGTCCACGTCATGATGACCTGTTTTGTTTCTTTTCCTTTGTGTTTTAATATGCTCCTGCAAATTGCGATGCAAACCAAGGGTTTATTTATTAGCTTGCGGCCCAAGCAGAGAGGCTTCAGACTCAGATACAAAACATATAATTGACACATACATGGATTATACGCCAAGTTATTATTAGATCACCTCAAATCCATCCTTCCATTGCTTACAACATATTATACTCGCAGACACCGCCCCGAACGGAGAGGAAAAAAAAAAAAAACAAAACAAAACGCGCCCGCAGATGGATATATATATATATATATATATATAACATAAAACCATAGCATCCTGATCCTAATTCACTTCTAAGCAATATTAAAAAGTGGTTTAAATGGAAAGCCACAACTCAAAATTGGAGAAAAAAGAGCAAATGATGGGTGAGAGTAGTAAAAGAACATTACATTTTAGCTCCAAAGGCGTGTAATTTAATTCCAATATCACTTACTACTTGTTAGGGATGACGAGTAAATATATAAAATAAGAGAGAGGAGACAAATAGAGAAAGATTAGAAGAAAGGCATCATTATTTTATCAAAAATCACAGCACTTGAATATCACAACCTTTTATAATATATTTATTATTAAACTTAACTTTATTCAATATAAAATTTTTTAAATTAACTCAAGTTCAATCACATTTGAACAACTTATACAGTGGTAATGTGCTAGTACTACAAATAAAAAGCAGATTTGGTTATGCGGGCAAAAAACCTAATTTATAAGGGAATATTATGGCTAGATAGATAAGGTTATTTCTTTTGTTACTTTTGTTTCCCGATATCAAGTATATATGCCCCCAAATCAAGTGAAGTGGAATATGCAGCCTACGATTTGATAACTTCGAATTATGAGCAGAAAAGAACCCTAGCGATCGAGAATGAGTGAACAAAATTAGTAGTCCTTTTTAAAAAAAAAAAAAGGGATCAAAATCCACAGAGTAATATGATAATGCCTTCGCGATTAAGGAAGGGGTCAACGCATATACAGGATAATTAGAATGGTGGCGTGTTGACATCATTTTCGCACTCAAACACAAGAGCATTAATTAATACATTGTATAGAAAGGTTACGAAATGCAGCATCATAGTACATGCGAGGATGAATGACCCACACATATACAATCACTGATTTAATTTCTTCATGTTTTGTTGGTATGTGATCATAGCGATGTGAGGCTTCTAAGCAGAGACTGGCCCTCTCATTGATTTAAATTGGCATTGCCAGAGAGAAAAAAGTTAATTGAAGATGAAGAGGAATCAATGTGGCATTAAAGAAAAGGGTTTCATCATTTGGAGCTGTCCCATCTCTCCTTCATTACCCCTTCTCAATTTACAAAAGCATCTCAGGTAAAAGAAACATTGCTAGGTTTAGTTATCATGGGATGAAATTTTATATTAAAAGTTTATCGATTAATTTGAATGGTTCGTTTACATGCATCCAATTTTTAGAATTTTAGTCTTCAGTATTTGTTTTGAAAATATATGTATATATATATATATATATTCTTAATTTTATCTCAATTATTGATATAACCTCTAAATTTTGATTTGTAAGCCATGAGCCCATGACAAACTAGAACACATACCTTACAATTTATGGGCGTCAAATAAGTCAATTTTTATAATTTTTTAATTCAGAATAATTCATTTATTTTAATTCCTTTATTTAACGAGTCATTATATATAGTTTATTGAATTAGAAAATCACAAGAAATAAATTGGAAGGAATTAAAGTTTAGGAACTAGTAGTGGTAGACCATGGTAGTCCTTGGGGGCTGTGGAGCTGTACCTCCTGTAGTGGGCTTTTCTCCTTAACAGAGAAGGGCAAAGGAGGAATCACAATAAATCTTGATCAATAATTTAAATTTAATAATTTTTAAAATATATATTTAATTTGAACAGTTTAAATTTATAATAAAAAAATAGTAAACAGAACCCCACCTCAACTCCTCAATACCTTTGGTTATGTTTCTTCCTTTTAAAAATATAAGATATTTTTTAAAGAATTGAATATTAAAAAAATAAGATATTTTTAATCTTTTAAAATATAATAATTTTTTTCTAAAAATATTTATATTAAATAAATTATTTTATATTTATTTTAAGATAAAATGTCTTATTAAATAGGAATAAATATGAAAATATAAAGTTAATTTAAAGCTAAATAATTACTTTAAAAATTCAGTTAAAAATATATTAAATTTTTAAAAGAAGAGATCGTATGTGTGTGTTCTTTGAGTTAATGAAATTCCCATTTACTCAAAAAAAAAAAAAAAAAAAAAACTTCGCTCCCGTTCCCACCAAGCAACACAACGCACTTGCACAGCATAATACATGAATAATGCAATAAACATATATTTCTTATATTTTCATATTTAAATAGAAATAAAATATATTATATTTAGTTACTGTGGCCTACTGGGGCTTGCGTCTTTCCTCAGTCCTGCCTTTCTTAACTAAATATCTCTCCAGCCGGTCAGTTTTTCTTAATAAAAAGAAAAATGCTATTCGTTTAAAAATATAGAATATTTTTTAAAAATTTAAATATTTAAAAATATAAGATATTTTTAATTTTTTAAAGTGTAATCATTATCTTTTTTTTAAAGTACCCCTATTGATAATTTTATATTTATTATAAGGTGTTTAATAAAGTTAAATATGAAAATATAATATTAGCTTGAAAGTAGGTAACTATTTTATTGAAGGTGAGATTCAGTTAAAAATATCTTATATTTTTAAACGGAGAGAGTATATATTTATAACATATTATATCTGTGTGTGTACACACATGTTAATCTTTTTAATTAAATTTTCTTGAATTAATAATTATACATAAGTGTATATTTAATGTTTTTGTTACTCAATTTGTAAACAACATCAATAAATGATAATTTAGATTTGTCAAACATTTAATTTTCAATGCATATATTGGTTTATTTTTTATAAAAAATTTATTTTTTGTTAAAAATATCAATATGTAAAGGCAGATAAAAACGTATTTATAATATAAACAGGTTTTATATTACTTTTCAAGAAAATTAATTCTTTAGTTCTTGTAGTTTTAACCTAATTGTAATTTAATTCCTGAATTTTGACTCATCATAATTAAGTCTTTATAGTTTTAATTTAGTTGTAACTCAGTCTTTAAACTTTGCCTCTTGTAATTTAGTTTCTATAATCTCAACTAGTCAAATATTAGTCCCTATTTTTTTAAAATAAAATTATAAAGATTGAAAATATTTTAAACTTTTAATATTTATTATTTTTATAAAGATTAAAAAGTTTAATAATTTAAAATATTGATAATAAATTTTAACATAATCTTAATCTTTGTAATTTTATTACTAATATTATAAATATTAAAAATTTAAAATATTTTAATATTTATAATTTTATTTTTTAAAATATAAAAATTAATATTTAAGTAGTTGAAATTATAAAAATCAAATTGTAAGAGATAAATTTTAAAAATTGAGTTACAATTGAGTCAAAATTATAAAAACTAAATGATTAATTTTTTCTGCCCCCCTAACTCTCCCCACACACAGAGAGATATGTTCTATATTAAAAATCGAACCAAACCACATATTAAAAATATTTTAAATATTTAAGTTTAAGAAATTAACCAAAGAAAAGAAAGAACAATTGTTATTTTTTGCAGTGCTCATCGTATTCAAAGTCACATTTAACCTTTACATGTGTTAGGTACCATTAAGCGAAAAACTTTCTTAGTAACAATTCGTTCATGCTAAAACCTCCGAACTCAAGACCTTTTTATCAATTGATTTTCAAAAGGCATATTTGACTTCGATTGTTCTAATTTCTGTCATGTTAAATCATACAAGCGTAAAACTCTCTATTAACTTCTTTTAATATAAGACTCAAATTCCAAAACTTATTAAAAAAAAAAATCAAATCAGTTGAATCATGATTGATAAAAATATATCAATTTTAATGGGTTCAAAAAAGTTTTGGTAAAAGAAAGTTTAGGTAAGCAAAATCTTGAAAACTTACCATAACTAAAGCAAGCTTTTAAGCTTAAAATATACTTACAGAGGTGATTATACATTATCCATCAATAATATTGTCATATTAGTAATATCAGTAATGGAATTTAATCTCATAATTTTGTAAATTATGGCTTAAAATTTTTATTAACTAGATCAATTTTTCTTAATTGACAACGACATTGATATCAATGGACATTATTCAATACGGCCATTATTAATCTTCTCTTAGGACTAATCATATCAATCTCCACTTCACACACCGCTTCAACTTCAAATCGGGCTGCATGGCCTATAAACTTTTCCCAAAAACATTCGAAGTGAGTGCGTCCAAGAAAGAGAAGAATCTCAAATTCTTTTTTCAGTTTTGGCTTTCGAACCAACCTGGACACTTGCTTCACAGTGCGATTTATGCTTTTGACCAAATTACCAATCATGCTGAAAATTCTGATTATAATGTTGGAGTTGGATTTGACAGCGGCTAAAGCAAAGCACAACTAATGAACAGAGACAGAGACAGAGAGTAGAAAAGCACCAAATTATCCTCTACTCAAAGAAAATATATAATCCTTTCAATTAGCATAGTAGGACAAAAATGCAAGAAAAATGTGCCACTACACAACTTTGTTTTTGGCCATGCCAGGGAAAAATTATGTAAGAAAACAACAAATTAAATCCCACCGAACTTATACAAGTTTTTGCATCCTAAAGGTGTGACGCAAAAAATACTGATATTTTTTAGTGTTATGAGATGGTTGGTAAACTAACTGGTCTCCGTATTTGTTAGCGTTGCTACAGGCGTGGTTAAAGGTAATAATCTCATTTTATGCATAAAAAAGATTTCTGGTTTTCCTGATTATATCATAAAGGAATGA